GACTGTCCAGAGGCTGCAGATGCCCCATCCCCGGAAACATTCAAGGTCAGGCTGGACAGGGCTCTGAGCAACCTGATCTAGTTGAAGATGTCCCTGTTCATCATATGGTGGTTGGACTAAATGGCCTTTAGAGGTCCCTTCTAACCCAAACCATTCTATGAATTTATAAATCCATTTTTCCAGTGATATGCTGAGAATACCATTTTCATCAGACCATGTAACAAGCATTTAGCTAGCTTTTCCATATACATATATCCTTGTTAGAATATATGTAAGGATCAAAATTAAATAATCAGCTTAAGGGAATCCAACGGAAATTTGCCCCAGATTTAAACCCTTTATATAAGTTTAACCCCTGGCTAAATTTATTATAAGTCAGTATGTATTGACAATCATTAGCTGGCAGAAAGGAAGAAAATTTATCTTTTTTTTTTTGTAAAGTGCAAATGTGCTCAGTAAATCTCTTTAATAGCTATAGGGGCATATTTGGACATGTGCACACCTCTGTTAAACAAATAAATTTGAACTGTACAGGTAATAAATTTGAAATACATGTAATATGTTCTCATTTAAATAAAATTTCAAATAAAACATTCTAGACAATGAAAATATTATATCTAAAATTATGTTTTAAAAAAAGGTTTCTTTAGTAGTACTACAGCAAAAATAGATATTTTTCTTTTAAGGAAAAGTACTTTTTTTTGGTCTTCAACACAAATGACCTGAAGCAGCCTAGAGAACTCTACTGATGATTTACAGAAGTCAGGCTTAATCTAAGACTGAACTTTAAAAGATTCATTCTAAATGTGAAATTTAAAAATACCTTAAAAACAACACTCTAAATCATCAAGGTTGGAAGAGGTCTGCAAGATGATCCAGTCCAACTGTACATCCAGCACTACCACTGTAAACACATCACCCAGCGCCAGATCCAGACACCTCTTAAACACCTCCAGGGATGGTGACTTCACCACTTCCCAGAGCAACCATTTCCTCTGGTCCTCTCACTATAGGCACAGTTGAGGAGATCAAACCCACCTCACTACAATCTCCTGTCAGGGAGTTGTAGAGAGCAATGAGGTCACCCCTGAGCCTCCTCTTCTCAAAACTAAACAAACCCAGCTCCCTCAGCTGTACCTCACAGAATATGTTCTCTAGTCCTTCCACGAGCCTTGTTGCCCTTTGCTGGACATGCTCCAGCACTTTTTGAAGTGAGGGGCCCAAAACTGAACACAGGATTCAAGCTCTGGCCTCACCAGTGCCGAGTACAGAGGGACAATCACTTCCCTAGTCTTGCTGGCCACACTATTCTTGATTCAGACCAGGATGCCATTGGCCTTCTTGGCCACCTGGGCACACTGCCCAGGCTCATGTTCAGACGGCTGTTGTCCAGCAGCAAACAGCTCTCAAGCCACTTACTCCTCCCCCAGCCTGTAGCACTGCATGGTGTTGCTGTGATCCAAGTGCAGGACCCAGCACTTTGCCTTATTGAAACCTCATACCATTGGCCTCAGCCCCTTGATCAAGTCTGCCCAGTCTCTCTGCAGAGCCTTCCTGCCCTCTAGCAGATCAACACTCCTGCCCCACTTGGTGACATCTGCAAATTTACTGAGGGTGCACTTGATGCCCTCATCCAGATCATCAATAAAGATGTTAAACAGGACTGGTCATAAAACTGAGCCCCGGGGAACACCGCTAGTGACTGCCTGCAACTGGATTTAGCTCCATTCACCACAACTCTCTGGGTCTGGCCATCCAGCCAGTTTTTTACCCACTGAGGAGTCCCTCCAACCAAGCTGCAAGCAGCCAGTTTTTCCAGAAGGATGCTGTGGGAGACAGTGTCAAACACTTTACACAAGTCAAAGCAGACCACATTCACAGCCTTGCCCTCATCTTCTAAGTGGGTCACCTTGTCATAGGAGATCGGATTGGTCAAGCAGGACCTTCTTTTGGTAAATCCACGTTGGCTGGGCCTCATACCCTGGCTGTCCTGCATGTGCATATATAACCTTACCAAAACAACTGCTACTGAAAACCAAATTAAACAAGTCTACACTGACAAGGATCCTTCTCTATTTTTCATTTCTAATGGCTTATATGTTTCACTAATCAGGTTGGCAGTCTTGAAAAACTCCATTTATAAAATTCAAGTTGTCTCGACCACAGTCACACCCACACTAAGAAGGGGTGAGCAAAATACATCACTGATGGTGAGCATTAATGACAGGTTGGGTCCCCTTTCTCTTGTTTGGTTCTAATTCTTCTGTGTTGTATTTTTGTCACATATAGAAGCATGACAAGAAGACAAAGCCTCAACAATTTCAAAAGAATCCATCATTCCCTTTGACTAAATCATCACTTAAAGTCATCACCTACAGCTTCCCCCCAGTTCTGGGTATGGATTCTCAAATACATTCTGGGAAAAAATGTTATTTGATGTACCAGACAGATCCATTAGCCTAGATTTTCTGTGTGATTAACTTTAAATTTCTGTACTTTATTCTGTTGTGTATTTTGTACATAACAGAACTATACCAAGTAAGTCGAGGGTATTATTTTTTAAGCTCCAGCATTTTTCTCAAGCCATTTTACTTCCCCTTCAAGAAAACTTCACCAAAGAAAACCTTGTTTAGGAGGTACTTTTGGGGTGTATATTGTATGGTTTGGGTTTTTTAAGATTATATCATACCAAATGATTAACAGAAAACAGGAATGATCTAATCTATTTTATTATTTTTCCACACTGAATAAGTCTTTTCACCAACATATTTTAAAGAATCCCTGAAGGATATGGAATTACGAGGCATCAACCAAGATGGTATCATTCAATTACTATGCTCCCTAAAAAATCACTTTGCCTACAGACCAAGAAATACCACTGGACAAATGAGACCAACATTATTTAAAAACACTTAGTTTCTCAAGGATTAGTTAAATACTGGTAGTATCTATCACTGAAATCTAACCGTACAATTCTGAAATAATCTTACAAATACAAAGCAATGTAAGACTCTTCCCAAGTGTAACATGGCTAAACTTAGAGCATTGTGTTACCATTTATTTCATTGTCACTGATCTTTTCCAGATACAACCTAAGGGTTTGGATTTTTCTCCCTGTGTCACTCTGGCAATACATCACAGCTTCAATTAGAAGGCTATAATCTATATACAATTGGGATCCGCAGTTCACGCTTTTTTTTTTTCCTTTTGCGTATTGGATTTTTGGAGGCAAAACCAGAGAAAGGTACTTCAGTTGTAAAAAAAAAAAAAAAAAGAAAGCTAAGGAAAGCCCCTTAAAAGAATCAAGAAAGCAAACGAGGAACGCTCGCTGTTCTCCTCCCTTGAGGGAGGAAAGGAACTGAGAGGAGGACGTGGGGAGGAAGGGGGAGGAGACACTTTTAAAAAGCGAAATGTTGAGAACAGGGTGAACTTACTTAACCCGTGCGCACCGACCACAACCCAGTCCACGCAGGAGAGAACGCGAACTCACGGAGCCTCCGCGCACCGACCACACCACCACAGGCAGGAACCAGTCCGTCCCCTGCCGAGGCTGCGGACAGACAGACAGACCCGGCCCACGGGGAACAGCGGGGCGGAGCGGGGGGAGCTGCGAACGCGCCCCCCGGCCCCGCGGGCTGCCGGCCGAGGCGCGGGCGCTGCCGTTAGCCCCCGCTCCGTGTCACCCCCGCGTGTTCACCCCCGCGCTGCGGCTCAGGGGCGCTCCGGGGCCCTCCCCCGGCCCCTCCTCCGGTGACCGGCCGTGCCCGCGGAAGCCGAGCTGCCCCAGCGGATCCTTCCTCAGAGAAGGGAAAGGAGGGCGGGCGGAAGATGCTCTGCCCCCGCGCTCCCCGGGAGCTCCGGGGCCACCTGTGGCAGTGAGCCCCGCCTGACAGACAGGCTGGCGGGCCTGCCGCCCCGCCCTGTGCGGGGACGGCGGCGGGCCCCGATCCCCCAAGCCCCCGGGCGGCGGCGAGGGTGGGAAGCAGAGCGGGCGCTCCGTACCTGTGGTGGCCGCCCGCCCGCCTCCTCAGCGCGCGCCCGCGCGCCCCCGTCCCCGGCGCCGGAGCGGGCACCGGAGCGCGCGGCCCCGACCCAACGCCCCCGCCGCCCCCTCCGGCCCGCCCCGCTCCCAGCGCGCGCCGCCGCTCTCGCGACGCTTCCCGCCAGGCCCCGCCCCGGACCTGGCCGGCCGCGCGCTCCCATTGGGCGGGGAACCCGGGCCCGCCCCGGAAAGAGCCGCGCAGGGCGCGAGCGCGGGGCGGCGGGCGCGCACCGCTCTTCCCCGTGTGGTGCGCGCGGCGGCGCAGCGCCCCGCCCGCCGCCGCCGCCACCCACCGGGCGCGGCCGGGGCCGGCCGGGGAGGGACTCTGCTCGCCCTGTTGCCAGTCCAGGTCCCAAGTCCCTGCCCCCGTCAATGCCCCAGCCGCTCTCCGTGCCCCAGTCCCTGCCCCTGTCCCAGTCCCTGCCTCTGTCCCAGTCCCTGCCCCTGTCCCAGTCCATGTCCCTGTCACTCTCCCTGTCCCTGCCCTTGCCCTTCTCCCCCTACCCGTCTCTCCCAGCCCCCGTCCCTGTCCGAGTCCCCGTCCGTGCTCCTGTCCAGCCCCTGCCCCTGTCCTGTCCCGCGGGGTGTGCCCAGGCGCGGGCACGGCTCTTGCAGAGCCCCGGGCTGTGTGTGCCTGCCAGGTGAGCTGGGCCGATCCTGCTGCTCGGGATGGCCTCTCCCGGCAGGCTGGCATCCCAGGCGTCTGGCTGCCTCGGGTTGGAGGCTACAGCGTGGTTTTAGTCAGACGAGGCACAGACAAGACTGTCAAACCCTACCTGGAAATCTTGCGCCCTTCCTCCTTTCCACATGCCATTTTTAAACTCGGTGCTACCAGATTCCCCTGAACACCAGGTGAATAGTTTGGCCCAGCAAATACGCAATTAATTTCCACATCCTCATGAGTTAGGATGATATGTGTTTAAGTGTAGGTGCTGTTGGGGCCTGGGATTTCATTTTGTTTGCATGGAAACAGTAATTTTATGTAGCTTCCCAAAATAAGTTGGTTTCAGCAGCAGCAGCAGCTCCTTCAGAGACTAACCTGACAACAAGGACACAAATGAGGAAGTGTGTTGGACAATACACAATGGATCGTCTTAGCAATGTGCGCTAACAACTGTGTCCCTCCCAGAAAGAGAGACTCTTGGAATCGGGACAGGTCTTTCTGAGACTCGGCATGTCAGAGTGAAGCTCAGGAGGAGGAACAACAGAACTGGAGTTCCACTGTGGCTACAGGTGGAGACAGGGCAGCATGTGCTTGCAACAGCTTCTGAAAGACAGAAAAGAAAGAGCCCCCAAAGCTAAATTCAGCAAAAAATCCCAAACTTCATATACTAGGGAAGGGGTTAGGAAAGAGAAGAAGAATCCTAAGATGCTAGCCTTGTAGCTTTTTCAATACTGGGCCATTTCAATGTCCAACCTGCTCCACTTTACAGAGACAAAGACAAACAGAGGGAGACTACTGTGTGACAATTTTTACTACTGGATCTCCATTACTTCTCTAGATAATTCCTGCTTGTGCCTACCTTCTGTTTTCACTTGAGCTGTGGCTTTTATTTCTATTTAGTCTTTGATCATGGGCTGTTTCTCGTTTGTGCAATCATTTTAGACACTTCAGAAGTCAGGGTGTGCATATTCACTTACTGATTTTTGCCAACAGGTAGGTGAGCTACATTTTAATTTACTGTAAAAACTAGTAAGCTACGGACAAAGCCAACAAACCATGCAAACACTACATAGATAAAAGAAACAAAGGACTGGTTCTAAAACATGTCACACTGTGTGGCTTAAGTGGGACAAATAAAATGGTTCTCATATTCCTAGGAACTGCAGGTCCCTATGAGATGGAGAGACAGTAAATGAATAAAAGCATCAAATTTAAATCAAGTTAGTCGTCATTTCAGTTCCCCTTGAGACCAGCCTCACTTGGAAATACACTATCATTTGAGTAAAGACATTTTAACAGTTAGCACATCTCTAGCTAACCAACAAAATGCCTCCTTTTGACCAACTCCATCACTAAAAACACTTTTCAGTTTTCATGAAAGCTAAAAATTCTGTAAGAGGGTTTTGTTGTAGCTCTGGAAGCAATGTAAACATGAGAAAGCATGCTTTAAAAATAAATTCAAGCCTTTTATTCCCTTTGTTTTATAATTCCGCTGAGACTATACGGAATAATGAGTTCCTATGGCTCCCTTCCAAAACCTTGAGAAAAATCAAGATTTATCATCATCAGGAAACTATGAAACGTGACCCACAGCATGCCATTGTTTGTCAGAGAAAATGTTATTTTTTACACAGTAATCAAAATGGAGACAGTTTTGAAATAGTGATTTAAAATTTTTTTTTTGTTTTTTACAGTTGATTTAAATACTGTCTATGTAAAAGCACAGGAAACTTGTCTGGTCAGCCAACACTTCTCAAAATTTATAATAATTATGAAGAAATAGAGTGTTGACTTCTGAGCTCTGGTACTTTGTGTCCTGCTAATTTTATATTTCTCAGGGCAGGGTCTGGCCACTCAGAACCCATTCTGCTGACCCCAGCCAGGAAGCAGGGAAGCTGGGGACAGCCCCAGCCTGGGGCATCGGGACGGGGACAGGTAAAAGCCAGGCTGTGACATCAGTCCACTTGTGGGGATCAGGATCAGGCCCCATGAAGGGGATCAGCATCAGGCAGAGCTGGTCATGCATCTGTAGTGTTTTCTGCCTGGTCATTTGGTATGAAAAATAGGCATCTTTAGAATCTTTTTGTCAAAACTACTGTTACTATCCTGACTCACTGTCTGTATCTGGCTTTTAAGCTTGATATCTTAGGATCACTGGCTTGGAGCAACTTATTCAAATATTATCTCAGACTGACCGATATGTCATCTCTCTCGGGTATTGAATGCCAGTTCTGTGAAAGGTGTTGAAGAACTAGTCTGTGACTTTCTGGCAGTATTCTGTCCGTTTTTTTCCTAGTCCCTTACTTACATTTTTTTCCTCTGTACAGGAAAACTACACAGTTGCATGATTGTGTCAATGTTGTTTTGTCAGGGTTTTTTATGATACTGCTTCTGAAAAATGTGTCTCTATAACTAAAGCTTTATTAAGTTTGGGCAAGACTTGAAATTATATTGTATAAGCTACACTTAGAATAATAAGGATTGCCTTCTCAAAGGCAGATGCATAATTTATATGTATTCCTACCTTCAACAGGAGGCATAGCATACTCTTCCTGTTTTAAAACCTGTTTAAGCCTTTTCCATTGATCCCCTTGCAGCAAGCTGGGAAGGATCTGCCATGTGCTTGATAATATTCCACCCTTCTCCCCCCGACCCCTTCAAAAACAAAAAGACCAAAAAATATTTAAAAATCTAAAGGTCATAATGTAATAGTTTTATTAATGACTCCTAGTGGCTTCTCTGTTTATAACCTACCCTTCAGCTCCCCAGCCCAGCTCCCTGCTCCTGCATCTGCACTGCTTCTGGACTGTGCCAGCATGAACATTTGTGAAATCAAGCAATAAATGAGACTGAACTGAGAAGAATAGAGAAAAACCTGCTTTCCTTCCGTTTTGCTGATCCAGTTCACCAGTGTAATAAATGTGTCAGCATGGCACTGGGGATAGCACAGAAACAACCAAGAATGGGAACAGCTTAAATTGTCTTGTTCTGCTGCCGAGGGCATACCCATGTGTTGGCTTGCTTTTCCATTTAGACCCTAATCAGTGTCTCCTTGAAAACACTCTTGACACCCCTACCACCTCCTAAACTGGAACTCTTTGTCTCAGTGGGTGATTCTATTAGTCATCTTGTCATGAATCTTTGGCCTGGGCTGGACCATGGCGTTTGTGTCTGACAAAGGTTGGGTTTATGGCATTATAGTATAATGTGATGGCATTTTTTGGTTTCTCTTCACTGAATGTTCCATGAATCCATTTTTGACATGCCTGAGAAGTCATTTTTATTTGCATGTTTATGGATATCTTAATTCCTTTTTTCAACAGTGAAACCTAATAACTTTTATACAAGCTATATATTGCAGCTATTTCTGGCTTCTCTTTCTCTGGAGTTTGATCTGTGACCTGTGTTAAGTCATCTTTCAAAACAATATGCACAAGGGGCGTAATCCACGGACTATATACTGAATTCATCCTTCAGCTGGCCAGTTTTATGTCCTGCTGACAAATGAGTTCTCAGAGCCAACTAAATAGGCCTTTTAAGGCAAAATGGAAAGCGTCACAAACTAACCCTATCAAAAGATGCATTGTACTCCATAGAGGCAGTTTCAGATGATATGAGATTATTATCCAAAGCCTTGGAAAGCTCTCTGAATTCACATCCTTTCTGTGCATTGTGTTTGCTTAGAGGATGCAATAAACGTTGTCACTGTTTCACACAAGAGCATACAATAATAACTGGAGCTGACTGGGAAGTGAAATTTTTATTCTACAGGAAATTCCAACTTGTCAATATTTTGTTTCATCAGGTGCTGGAACAAAACATGTTGGCTCTGCAGCCTTTCTGGCAAAAAATGGAACAGTCTATTTCTTTGCCAGCTGACAAGCCTGGGAAGCCAAGAAACCAACTGAGCAGTCGGCCTGATGCCAGGGAGCTAGATAGCCAGTCAGCTGAGATACAGTGAGAAGCCAGCTTGGCCAGCAACCGCAGCCAGATCACAGCTAAAACTTCTGCAGAAAGTTTTGACAGAACCAGGACAATTCAGAATGTTCAGTGCCAGTCTGCTCAATTAGAAGATGGTTAAACAAACCCTCTTAATAACTGACTACTTTTGGGAAAGGCTGTAACTGTACTGCACTTCGTGTTCCTTATGGATTTCTTCAGCTTTTGCCTTGTGAGTTATGCACACATTTATTGCTACTATTAAATCAATGAATTTTCCTTAAGGATTAATGATGACACCCAAGCCCATGAGGGAGTTCTCAGTGCTAGTTTTGTAATGATCATTCAAATAACACTGCGTGCCAGCAGTACCTCATAGTATCTGCTTGTGTATGTCTGCCTACTAACCAGAAGGTACAGTTACTGCAGGCTGCACTGAGAGACTGAAATAAACACTTCTATCTGCTATCAAATAACACACTATCTCATTGTCTTCAGTCCATATTTGTGAATGAATTTAGGTTAAGATGAACTTGCCAAAAATGCAATAATGAGGCAAATACCTCTTCTGAACTAGGGAAAAAGCACTGATCTTTACTGGGTAGTTGGTAATGTTAAGGTCAACTCCGATACGGAGAGCTCCCTTTTTTGTCAGAACTAACTATGCTCAAGTGCTGTTTGCTGAATGTAACTTTAAACATTATTGCAGAATTCTTGCAATGCTCCAGTTACTTTTTCCTTTTGGTGTATTTTTGGAAAGATATCAGACAAGTTTGTAAAAAAAATTACATCTTTGTCTTCCCACAGCTTACAGTTATGGTATCATCATAAAAGGTATCAGCCGCTTTTTTCAAATGTTTAGATAATTTCTATTGTAGGATAAATCTTATAATTTCTTAAATCTGCAGATGCTGTACACCCTATACACTTCTCTCGTTTGTTTCCGACTAGTTGCTGCATGTGATTCCTTCTTAAAGCCCAGAGATGTCATACACCATCATCACTACAACTGTGGTAACTCCAGGGAACAATGAATTTCCTTGTAAATGTTTAGTGGTAATTAAATTTTCTACAACTTCATTTATTTAAGTAGTCTCTAATATTCCTGCTGTGAAATCAGAGGAAAAACAGATGCTTTACTGTGATGCATTTCAGATCTTGTTCCTTCCACATATAAATAAATCTGACTTATTTTCTCTCTCAAATTCAACTACTGTGGAGATGCTACAGCATCTGGATTCCAAGTGGATTTATGTCAGTTGTTTGCTTTTCATTGACCTTTATATTCTCTAAGCATGGCACAGTTTATTGCTGTTTTTACAGAGTTTATTCTTGAACTGGAAATCGTTTGCACAGTAAGTATTTTCCCACAATGACAATAATTTATTGTAATGTTTTTGGTGCATTTTCTTCTTCATTTCTGCTGGACTTGCTACACAGTTTTCTGTGCGCTGCTGCAACATATCTTGAAATGTGCTCTTCATCCCAAATGTAGTAACTTGAGCATATGTTTAAGGTTTAAGTCAGTCTCAATATGATCATTTGGCTTGCCTGGTTTTATATTCCACACACAGATAACTGCTGCCATGTGTCATTTAAGTCTTTCTGATTCTTGATTTCCTCATATTGCCACATACTCAGAGATTATTTCAGTTCCCCTCTGATTCAGTCTATAACATAAATGCTCCTTAAACATGAGAACACTTTATTACAGTGTTATTTTCTTTTTCCATCAAAATATTGACTGGAAACTACCAAATCCTTATACATCTTGGTGATAACTTTTCAACAAAATTTGAGTATTAATAGCTTCTCCCAAACTTCCTTTTCAGTTTTCTCTCAAAAAAAAAAAAAAAAAAACAAACAACCAAAAAACTATGAGTGACAAGGAGACAATCATCTGTATACTCCTTCCCAAGGACTTCTTTTCAACTCACTGTTCAAAGACATAAAATCTTGGCCAAAATGAAATGAAGAACAGAAATACCGAAAAGAAATCTCGTGAGTTCTTCCCTACCACCATAAGATTTCTGAGTAGCTACCTTCATGGAAGGCTATTTCATTTTCCCAGTGAAATTTTTCTGGGAAAATTTCTCAGCTCAGAAATGTTACAGGCCCAACTGAGAACCAGACAAATTTAATTTTAAACTAAAAGTTAAACAACTTAAGCCAATCAGAGCAAAAATGTGGAATGTGAACAATATCTAAAATGTATTTTCAGAACACATCCAGTTTAGCTGAAGTGTTGTGAGTGATTATTAGCTCATGAACTCCTGATGTATGGAGTCTGTTGGGTCAGTAATGGGATGGGCAGGGTAATGATAAACTATGCCTGAGTCTAAATAGGAATGATTTTTTTAGAAGTTGGCATCTAGAGATATGTGGATAACGATCACAATGATGTCTATAATGTTCTATTATTAAGACAAGGGGCAGCTTGAAAAAAGCCCAACAAAACAGCCTGGCACCAGAAGCAACTCCATGACTTTGTTTTGACCAGTAAGACAACAGATCTAAACTTCTAAAAACAAGCCTTCATCTTTCTTTGTTGCAAAAATGTGACATGGTGTTATCATTAGTTACAGCTCACTTGATTGTGAGAGTAAATTGAGTTTTTCAAGATGTGAAATGTAGCTTAAAATTATACATCTTGGTAACACCATGTTTTACTGGATACTTTAGGCCACATACCATAGAGGTATTAGTTATTCATGTAATTAATTAATGAAGAAAAATTAATTTTTAACTTTGTTGAAAGGTGGCCACTTATGCTTTACAGCTGTGGAAATATATATATATATTTGTATAGTTATAAATATATAAAATCAAAACATATTTTATTAGTCAAAAAGGAAATAATCCATTGTCTGCTTGCTTAGTTGCAAGAAACTGCATTAGGAATATTTGAAAAAGTAATAAAAGTGTTTTAAAACCAAATTATTTGAATTTCAACAATGTGTCATCATTTACAACTGATAAGACATAAATGGAAAATGAGAATTAATATTTGCTTTCAGATAACTGCCCAGGTCATATGCTGCATAGTAAAACAGATGTGCTATAGATAAATCAGAGTTTGATCGTGAAAGCCGTGTTACTTTATTTCTTTCCTTATCTGTCAAAAATTTTCCAGAAATAGCAGTAGCTTTTAATTTCATCAGCTTTGAATACATGGAAGTATTGAGGCCTGTCCCTGCAAGTTGGTTATCTTGAGAAATTGCAGTCAAAAGGTTTCTTAGGTATTTTCCTGCTACTAAGAAGTTCGGTAAGAATTGACCAACCATGATTTTCTGTTCTTTAGGGGTAGTGAAGATGGGGTACAGGAAAGAAATTAGTGGCTGAAGTGTCGATAATACCCATATTTCTTTACTATATGCTAAAAGGTCTATGATAGCCATAAGTGTTAAACCATCTAGTTCTTAATGAGGTGACTTTAATAGTATAATAATGTCACTGAAGGGTAAGTTACAATAACATACTGATGATGGATTTTTTAGTAATATACCCTTTAAAACACATCATACCAAAGGATAAAAATGAAAATACATTTCCATTCTCCTACAAGCCTAACTTTACTAATTTTATACTAGAAAACAAAGTTAAATTGATCTGATTTAGCTTATTCACTGGCAAAATGGTGTTGATTTTTCAAGGCATCGAAAGGACTTTTTTGTGGTTGGAAGCTGATTGATATGAATTATTTGTGTGGGGAAGAAATGCAGGGTTTCAGAACAATCACTGAGGACTTCACATGTGGCACCTTCAGGAAATAGTCTGATGTTCTGTTTTCCCATCCTGGTTCCCTCAGGCTGTGGCAAGGCAGGTTTGCCTGAAAGCACCCTTTCTCCTCCTGCCTCCTTCATTATCCAGGCAGGGGAAATCCTTTGGGTTTTGCAGCTTTTAAAAGCTGATTTTTCTCTTTTGAAAAAATACAAATTTTTTTTATATGAGCGACAGTGTTAGAACACACAAGGCCACTCCTGATAGCTAGTATGTGATGGGGGAAGAGCCTAAACCTGAGAAATGAGCCAAGAATCCACTGTACAGATTATAGCTTTCTCTTTTTTTGCTTGTTTTAATTCATGGGTTTGAGAGGTTTTTTGGTCCCCTTCTGGCTTAAGTGTGGCAGGGGAGGATAATCTTCTCTATAAATGCACTTGAAGACACTGCAGAAACCTGATATATATGGATGATGTTAAGGCTGAGTTTCCAAGTAAACTTTATTTCAGTTTTATGGGTGATGAGTTTTAAAATACTATTTTAAAAATTGAAATTAATATTTATAATTAATATAAATAATAAATTGCAACTTAGCTATATAGTATATTTGAGGGGAGTGTATATATGTATATGTGAGTGAAAAATACACACTGCTACAGAAAATACATTATATTATTTAAAATAAAGTGTTCTGCTGAGGCCTCTAAATTTTAGTGTGGATGTTTTCCAGTTCTTTTCAGGAAAGATAATGATGCACACTGCAGGTGAAGGAGACTTGTCAGAGCTAGGAGTGCTGCTCACATTATGGACTGAGGAAGAGAGTACCATATAGAAAGACCATTATGGTCCCTCAGGTTCCAGAAGCATCTGGAAGAAGACAGAAAGTGAATTTTAAGCTACTGTGCCCTACACCCTTCTGTTTCAAAGCCCTTCATACATTGTCCTCCAACAGCGATCTCCAGAGCAATCCTGATGTGGTGTTGTAAAGCTCTTTGTAAAGTATGTCTTCTTTTGTCAAAAAGAAAAACCCAATTAAAAAGTACTAATGTACTGTGTGTACATAAAGGGCTGCTGGTTCTTGGACTTCATTCATTATATACATAAACAAAAAAACCAGCAACCCCAAAACCTCTCTGACATCCATCTGGAGAGATCATATGCACCTCTCTTTTCATTCAACATCCTTTTACCAAGGGTGATACAGAACTAATGTGAGATAATCCTAAGTGAAACATAAAGTTCTGCCAACAGGACAAAGCACTGAGAAACTTGATTACAGGGATTTTTCGATTTGAAAGAAGCTTGTTTAGACTACTTCTTCTATTAAAGTTCCTACTACCGTAGAAGTGTCAGCATTTCTAATTCAGATCTAACAGTCTGGCCCATATTCCATCTCTGACAGTAGCTAACAAAAGATCTGTTACATGAAGGTGCCCATTATCCAGCGCAGACCAAATATAGAAAACATTTATTTATAACTTCTGTCATTTAGTAATTTTCTCAAGTTTTACAGTCTATGACACAGGGTTTCTAGAAATGTACTTCTTAGTGATACAGATTGATCCTCTAGCTAGTGTTAAATTTCCCTTTTTTTTTTTTCTTTTTTTAATGAAAGTAAGAGCTCTGCACTTCTTTAAAATCAGACTAGAATGAAAAATCACTGATTTTTTACTTTAACTGAGAAGCTAAACCCATACAATAAAAGGAGAATATTCTCAAATACATTGACAGTCATGCAGGGCTGCATTTAGCTATGCTATACCTTATACAAGGCTGAATAGCTCAGTATTTACAGTTATAACATAAGCACAAAACACCCCAAAACTCACCTCTCACCAAGAGATTTATCCAATTTATCCAAAGCAAAATTCGTGCAGGATTGACCTCCACCAGAATTTAGACACACTATGAAAAGTGCCACAGGACCACTAGTAACAGCATTTGGTTGGGTCTTCTCCTTCTGTCTCACTGGTAGGAGGAAACGAATCTCCACATAATGCTGGGATAAAGTATCTTCCCAGGACACTGGTTACATGTCTAGTCATACAACTACAGAATTAGTAACATCATTCCAAGCTGTGCTTTTAAGCTTTCTTTGGAGATGTCACATTCCAGTATGGATACCGCTTACCTCATGAATTTTTAATAGCACTTGTAAAGGACTGGGGCTTTTTTTTTTCTCCTACAGTGTGTTGGTGTCAGTTGTCAGTGTGTCTACCTTCATTCTCTTTTTCTCTGGTGAACCTGAGGATGTGGTTTCTGTGAGCTTGCTGGTACTGGTGAAAGGGCAATATTGTCCTCTCTTTCCCTTTTGTAATTCTTCTTTTCTCCCAGTACTGCCCCCTCATTGGACCAGTCCTGGTACTAGATCCTTCCATAACTTGGTTTAGTTCATTAATTCAGCAGATCCTTATGACATGGTCAAGTTCGTTGGCTCTTCTTGACCATATTAGGGAGTTTGTGCTGGTTGACAGAGATATCTGACAAAAAACAGTGCTGGGGCTAAGTAAGTAGCAGAGAGCAAGAAAGGGAACAGGCATGTAAAATCACAACCCAAAGCTTCTGTTCTTTTAAATTGCACTATGGTATAGTATGTTTTGAAAAGCAGGTGAGCAGTACCATGTTTTAAAGGGAGTGCAAATGAGGGAGGGAGCAAACCAAGGTGTTGGCAGTGGGTTTCTTGCTGTGCTGAAGCTCTGCAAGCACTAGGTGGCCTGCTTTTAAAGGAAATGGGAAATCACATCTGTGTCGGTGTGCTAAAGAGGATTAAATGTACCATTTGCACAAGTAATGCATCTATTTTATATATCATGCTACTCATGCTAAAATTTCATCACCTCTGTAAAATGCTAATCATGTGTCTGAAGCAAGAGACACCACCAGTGTTGGTGCTGGATGCCCTGAAAGACACTGAGGGCCAAAGGAGAATGGAAGGTAAGGGATACAGCTGCCCTGCAAAATGTGGTGTTATCAACAAGCTTTTTGCTCCAGTTTTATTTTTGACTATCAAAAGGGGAGGACAACAGGAAATGAAGGGATTCAGAAAGAGAAACTGCATTTTAGCTGAGGTATTGAATGTCTTCGGGGAAAGTTCTCCTAACAGTTATAATTTGTGTATCTCTGAAAGAGAATGACTTCTATTCTGGGCCAGTAAAAAGAGTCAATGCAAAAAGGTCTTGAACCACTAAATAAATTTAAACAGTCATTTAATATTGAATACAAACAAAGCTTTGGTGAAATAGTGAGTCTAACAAGAAATTGCAACAGCATCATTATACACATCTTATAGTCACTGATGCCTTACACACCAGAGTCACTCAGTGCCCAAAACTAAGGTGCAACAGAATTTTAACATGGTATGCACCCTAAAATTCTCATTTTTCTCTGTTTAATGTGGAAGGAGGGAAACTGATGGCAGCAACAAGTGAGTCTGGCAGCCAGAATGGGAACATTAACGGGTTGGTAAAATGTCATGTAACATCTTTCCAGAACCATGATTCCTAACAGGCAAACCCCTTCTACCAACCCAAAGGCAACCTGATGGTCAGGCTCCCACAGGTCACAAAGGAAGGAGGTTTGCAGAGGATAGGAGTCCTCTCTAAATTAAGGGAAAATATTATTTCTTTCCATTGCCCCAGGGATTCAATCTGGTTATTAGCTTAACAGATGTAAAAGTGCCACAGGGTTTATGTTCCAAGCTTTTCTCCATTTAATCCAGCAAGGGAAAAAGTTTTTAATGAAAATCCAGATTGACCAGCCATCTAAGAAAAGACAGGACATTGAATCTTGTTTTCAAAATATATACATTTTGAGAGGGGATTTATGTTGAGAAAATAAGCCATGATGTGTTGTTGATCCTGCTAACAAACGATATGGGTTAATAATTTAACTTCTGTTTAAAAACTAGTACTTCATTGAACCTTAATTGAGCTTAGTCAGCCATTAGCTATGGTTCTTATTGACTGAAAAATACAAGGGGATTGACTGTCCTGACATAATTAATTGTAGTTTTTTTTTTCAATAACTTAGGCTACTCTTTTCGCAATTGTCAGAAGATTAAATTAATACTTCTATCAATATTTTAAATAGACTTAAGATTCTGGGAACTACAGAGTAATAATCTTCATGGCTGAGTGGTCACAGGGAGACAAAATTATATTGAAAATTTTAATTCTGAGCAGATTTGATTTGTAAAGCAGTATATACCTTCCTAAGACAATTTTGGAAGGTTTTACACTGAGTCTGTAAAATTTATGCAGTTCATTTCCTGATGCTGTGGTGGAGCAGAGCTGGCGGAGGTATTTTCTCCTCCATCTTTCCCTGTGTAGCTGTCTACACCCTTTATAAACTCTTTAAAAACATATTTGGTTTTTATTTATATAGAAACTCACTCAATTGTTTTCTTCTGATAAGTAAAATAACAAATTACAGATGTGACTTTAACTGGCACCTGGAAAAATAATTTCAGAATTCAATTGGATTTTACAAGGCAATCAGTGCTGTCTGATGCTCTCCCTTCTTTTGATCTGGAGTGTCCCTCCTGTACCAACACTTCCTTGGGTTTACGGTCTGTGGATTACCTGAGAGAAGATGCCCAAAACACAGTGGCATGGAAGGTGGAGGTCCAGAAGAGAGAAGTGAGAAATAGAATACCAGAGCAGAATCACATAAAGCTCACCTTGCTAGAAAGTCAGCGCTTATAAAAGAAAAACTCACTTTCCATCATACTGTTTTATTCAAGTGCATTGGTTTTAATTTTAGGGGAGGGTTGCCCACACAATTCCAGATAAAGGCACTCTCCTCTGAACTTTCACTGTGCCTCAGATGAGGGGTTTACCCCAGAACTCATCTGCTCCTCCCAGTGTTTATAGAAGCTGGTGAAGCAGAAAGGATAGCCTGAAACCATTACCTACCAAGTTTTTTGTGCAGGTATTCTGAAGTAACCTGTGAACCTACAATCCTTAAAAAAGGAGCTTCCCCTCACTTCAAACAAACCATGTTTTTGTAGCAGTTCCATGGCATCTCCAACCTCTTGAACTCTTTTTTCTTTTTATTCATCTGAAAATAGTCCCTTAATATTTCTGATTGACTGAATTAATGCTTTTAAGCAAAGCTAGTTGGAAAATAAGTAATCAAGGTAAAATCAGAAGTACATACTCCTACACCACTTGCAGGCTCCTGTGTGAACAGTTGCTGACTTGACCTCGAGAGTACTGATGGCTTCAACAGTGGGTCAGAGATGCTGTGCCCAGGAAGTCTCAGCAAAGTGGCGCTCCCTCAGAACAAGGGAAAACACACCGTCCTTTGAATCATTATACCATTAACAATTATTACCAGGGACAGTGTGTTAGGGATTCAAAGACACATGTCTGATTCTTAATTAATGAATTGATCTACTTAGAGGATAGCGTGACTGCCAGGAGAACACCTATCTGCTGTCACATTGATGTTGCTAGGCAGCAGAAGGATTTTTTTTGCGACTGAAATTGAAGACAGGAAATTGCACTTGGCAAAGTGTTACTGGGAAATGGTAGGTGAGAAGGGCTGAAAGCTTTGAGCTATGGGAGAGGCAAATAACAGTGAAAGGGCAGAGGGGAGGAATGAATTCAAAGGGGCAAAGGCAGGCACAGCTGTGCGCTGCCGTCAGGGAAAGGAAATGGAAACTAAAGTTAAGAGCAGAAATCCTGCTGCCTCAACGAGGTGTCTGCCGTGTCCCAGGATATCCCAGGATGTCCCATTTCATCACCATGACATCTATCATCTTTCCCTCTATAAAAAGAAAGACGCACTTCCGTGTAGATCCCCTCAGTTCTCATCTGAAGGAGGACACGGGCCAGCTGCTGCTCTCACTCATCTATTGTGCATTTGGCCAGGACAGAAGTTATTGCACCTGCCTTGTGTTTTGTCATGCTTACAAGACAGATTCAGTCCATGACATCTTCCTGACATTAGATGGTTGGGGATGACCAAGGCCATGGGTCCACTGATATATTTTATTTTCACAAAGGATGCTTTTAAATATGATCAGAACCACATTTATGTAATTAGGAAACAGTCTGCAATCACTCCAAAGGAAATGGGGCAAACAACTAGTTTAATACATAACCAACTCAGGCTAATGCCATACTCCTACATCTGCTTCCAGAACGGGCAGATTTTAATCTGAACACTTTTCTAAACTTTTAGTGGCCTGAATGGCATAATTTAAAAGTAATTTTCATTCCCCACTTTTTACCATACTCTACTTACCAATATTCTAATATTCTAATATTGACATGAAATGAAGGAGCTGCTCATACTGCATCAGTTTCTTTTTTGCCCTTGTAGTTTGTCACACCATCAAACTAAACCTCTTTAAATAATTTGCTACTAGATTTTGTGTAGACAAGACATCCATGCAGTCCTTTTTGATAAACTGTCTGGGCAATCACTCTGTTAGATTTGCTTCAGGACTTTTCAACTCTTTCTTGTCTACCACTATTTTTTTTCCAAATTTTTATTAATTTAGTTGTAGAAGTTAAAAGTTAGCACAATTTCAGAATTCAGCAGCAGCTATTTGATGCCACTGACACAAGCAGATTGATTATATGACACAAGTACTAAAATATGGTATGAGCTCACCCATTTACCAAACTTTTCTTAAAATTATTAAAAATTTCTGTCAGTGCATCTCCCATTTTGAGACTTAAAATCCAACCACTTTTTTCATATTCTTTGACTTCTTATTCATAGAAATCTAATTTATGGGCAAGACAAACTATGGGAAGCCTACCTTATTGTTCAGTTTAGCTGCTAGAAGCAATCCTGCAGAGTTCATGGTGTCCAAAAACCATCACACAACAGTCTCCCCATGTACTGCAGAGTGCCATCCCCAGTGGTGTCCCCTACTTTACCCCATTAGCTACTTCTCCTACTACAGTCTCTCATTTATGCCACAGTTTTTACTATTGCAACCAACCATTTCAGCTTAGTTTATGAAATGGAATGCTCCCGAAACACACTCAAAACTGAACTACAGACTTCAATCCTAAGAGAACTGTAAGCACCTG